TCCTCTCGTTCCTTTGCATTCCTGACTATCTAATTAAGTCTGTGGAAGGCAAGGGGCAACACAGTGGGCCTCTGGGCCCCAAGGCAACTGCTTTCCCATCTTCACAATATTTACATCACTGTAATATCTTCAAAATGTTGCCCCCCCCCCCCATTCTGCTGTATTTGTAGCCAAGTTTTCCATCAATTCTTCGTGGAAACGTTCTGCTGTCAGAAGAGAAAGCAGCAGGAAAATGTAAAAAGAGTAGAAGGATTAGGTGCACTCCCAGTTTATACATACACTTCATGGTAATCAAGATTTATAATAGAGACTAATTACTTGGTTCCTTCCTGGAATGCTGTCACCTGGAACATCACCATTATAAAATGGATACGGAAAGCAATTAATGGATATGGAAAGCAATTCTGGAACAAATCTACCAGTCTGTAATATGCAAAGTATCTTACATAAGGCATATATACATGGGGAATGCCACTTTTAAAGCCCATATGATTTGTTTGGAAGATGCCTATCCACCTCCTTCCAGAAAAAACTCTGAGTGAACTGAAGTAGGAGAGAGCCTAGTTGGGTTATTGGGAGTTGCAAAAACTAGGAAAACTTCAGTGTTTACCTTCTGGTAAATGAATATTTTGACATTATCCATGCCTTTCATGCCTCTTATTTTGTAAGACTTTCCTGTGCCGTGTTCTCAGAAAACCACAGGTGCCCACTGTATCCAAAAGGTTACACATTCCTGCTCTGAAGATTTGATTTCAGATTCTGTCAGAGAATAGTCTTCACTTCAAACTGATGAAACCCTGTTTATTTATCTAACTATTCATTCAGACCTTTCGAATTTGTCTGCTAAGACTGAAGATGGTTTACATTTAGAAAGTAAAATCACTATTACATCAAATTAAAGTATGGCAGCCTTTTATCATCTGTGCCAAAACATCCTGGAGAAAAATTAGGATTGCGGTGCTTTCTCCAAAGCAAAAGTTTACGAGCATTTCAACTTTCGGGAGGCATCCTGCCTGCTCACTGCCTCTGGGAATCACACCCTCTCTGAAAGAATGTACAGAGCAAACCAGATTTAGCTAAGGAAGAGAATCCTGTAAGTATTTGATCCATCAAGTTTACTGGTTTTGGTATCAGCATTTATTCTGCTTTGTTTTGATAGGCATGTCTGTCAGCCCTATTACACCTCCCCCCCACACACACACATATTCTCACCCCGTGTATTTGAGATAAATTTGTAGAAGTAAATTAATGGATAGGAGAAAGATATTCTAAATGGCTCTTTTATACAGAAAGCCTTTTTCAAAAAGAAAAAAAATATCCCTAAGTTCTTCCACTGGGCATTTTTCTTCCATTTTTTCTTCCATCTAGTTTTGAATTATTCAGAATTTCTGAGGAAAAGCCATTTGCAAAACAGAATTATTACATGATAATGTTTAAAATAATAATTCCCACTTATTTTATGCAGTATTCTCAGACTTTTAGTTGCAATGTATAGTATTAGCCTCAAATAGTATTTTTATTATTTTTATTTTAAACTAATTTTGTTGAGTAGTCTAACTATGCTAACTGCCCAAAATCTTCCAACAATGACTGAATGAAAATCCGTTTTATTAATCTGAATAGGAATGAATTCCTAATAAATCTATTTAAAATTCAAATTTTACACATCTCTTACAATTTTCCATTAAGTAATTTCAATAGGGACACAAAAGAATAATTCTAGAATATTTATTTTGATGTAACAGTCTCCCTTCCACATATGCTTCCACACACTCACACAGGAATATTTTGGGATGATTTCTATACAAATATACACCAGTTTGGTGTAATGGTTAAGACATCTGGCAAGAAACTGGGAGACTGTGAATTCTAGTCTCACTTTAAGAACAAAGGCAGCTGGGTCACTTCCTCTCAGTTGTGGGAAGGAGGCAATGGCAAACCACTTCTGAAAAACTTTGTCAAAAAAATTGCAGGGACTTAGTTTAGGTAGTCCCTGGGAATGGGACACAGTTGAACTAAAGAAAAAATAAATCACACAGACATACTCAAAAAACATACATACGTGTATGTTCTATGTTCTATAAAATATGTTAAAGTGGGGAATCTATTTGGATTTTGAAGAAAATATCTCGGAAAACAAACAAAAGCAATCTGACATCTAATTCATAGACATTTCCTGGGAAAGTCACATTGTATGTAATGTTTTCCATGTTTATTGCTAATCAAAGTCCTCCTTCAAAGTACTTCTTTGTTAAGCCTCAACTGACTCTAGCAAGGGCTGCCAAAATGAAGGCTCAATAGCTAGGTGTGTCTATGGAATATTTTTATCTAACACCTAAGGGCTATACCTACTTTAAATTATGCAGTAATAAGCATTTTCCTCATAGTTTAACACAATATGGAAATTCTGGTTCTAAAACAAAGAGCATATTACTCCTCTGATCTTTGCATAAGATATCCAGGACATGCTCAGACTCCTTTGCTCCATAACTGTGAAGTTTCAATTCTAAAGCTGCTATGATTTCATTTTTAACAAATAATATGTGATCTAATCATTGGGCCATCAAACAATGTTCTGTTCTTAAAATTCTTTGAACAGTCTTCAAAATAAAAGGTGGCCAGTTCTGTTCACTTGTTATTGCGAACATGTTCCAACATAGCTCAGAAAACTAAGAGTCAAAGAACAAAGGAACAAAGAGTCATCTGCATAGCTCATTTCTTTCTGCATATATACCATTTGTTAAATATAAAACTCATGCTAACACAATAAAAATAAATCCAGCAAGTAGTACATTAAAGGTACATGCAGAGTAAGAATTTTAAAAAAATTAAAATGGGAGCCAGTAATTCTATTTGTTTTATATATTTTAAAAACCACACTGATTAGCTTTGTCTCCTCTTTTTAAATGCTTTAAAATGTTCTACTTACTGACTTGGCCTTGCTTATTAGAGATCGAAGTAACTCCTTCACATTGTTTGCCTTGTCCCTTTGGAAATACAAGCTGACTTCTGTTCGGTTGAGCACTGTGACAGAAGGCATCATTGGCCAACCCAGCTCCAGTTGAGGGGGGTCAATATCTGTCATTAATGGGAAGTATGTCCCAGATGTGACCCCAGAGAGGAGAGATTCCCTATCCATGCTGTCAGCTCTTGAGAGTCCTGCCTCTAGCCCCTTCTTTGGAGATTCTGGGATGCTTTGGATGTGCTGGCTCATGTAAGCCATGTCCATTGTGGACAGGAACGGTAGTTCTTTTTCTTTAGCGATGACTTGCAGATAGCCAGCTTCTCCTTGTTCCAGAAAGGCATCCACCGCTAGCCTGGCGGTCTCACTATGCTGTAGCATTGAAGGGCTGGCTTCTTTCTTCCAGGGCTTTTTCAGATCTTCCAGTCGATTTTTCAGTTGCCCTGTGCTCCCTTGGGAATTCCCAAGGCTTTTTGAGAACCAGCTCATGCCTCTAGAGCTGGGTGATAAAGCACCACAATCCTTGGTGTTACCTTGTCAGAGGGATATCCTGAGCTTGAGATACTGTCTTGACTTTATAAATCCTTGTGATTCTGTAATGAAGATGTCGAGATGAAGAAAAGTCAAATGAACAATTTTGTTTTATTTCTAGTTTTACTTCTGTTTTTCTAGATGTCCCCGTACCTAGGGAGAAAATTAGCTCAAAATTCTAATTCTCATGGCTTGTTTTGATGTTGTCTTCCTTATGGAAATGCTAAGAAAAGTTTCTTCATCTTCTTTATAGGAACTGCTGCTTTTAGGTATGCTTCCTCAAGCAATAAGACTCAGTTACGTTCCCGCCCCAAAGTGATTTCTCTCTTGCAGTCAAAGCACTGAAACCTGTTTTGTAAGTTTTATTGCCTTGAGAGGAAATGGGAATGTTGAAACTTGTTCCAAGGTCAATGTGGTTTATGCAATAGCTACAAACATGCATAAATGTTAAAACAATGTAATAACCTGGAAATAAGAGGAAAACTGCTATGCATTTTTAGCACCCATTCTATTCTTCTGCTCAGGTATTGAAGAAACAAAAAGAGAATCGTCAGTGCCACAAGACTCTGCAAATTGCTTTAATTCAGGGCAGAGAAGGGTTTATTCATAATGCCCCAAGTCCATATTTTGTTGAAATGCAACAGAATGTCATGGAGGATTAGGTTGTTTAACTTTAAATCCTCATGTAATTTTCCTACTCTAATTTGCACTCCTATTTGTCTATTTGTCTCCTGCTTCCCTATATCTCTATGTATGTGTGCAGAGAAAGTAGGACTATAGGCATAATAGAGAGATTTGTGGAAAAATAATAACAAATTTAGGTTAGGAAACTTAGATAGGAAGAAGGGATTATTATGCTTTCTGGATTAAATTCTCAGCTTCCATCAATGAGGAAAACTCAGGAGTCCAAGTGTACTATTATTATTGTTAATAATTTCTCACTATTTTTACCAGCTGCCAGGGGCAGGGCTGGGAAACAGAAATTTGAGTGGATTGGGTCTTTATTGAATAAAAATCATGGAAGTTGTGTGCCATTTGTATTCTTGGTTAACAATTTAATGTTTATATGAATAATATTGGGTAGAGTGAATAATAGTTAAATATCTTCACTAGACTAGGATTTGAATGTTTTGCCTTTGTCCTACTAGGATGTGTGTGTAAGTGTGAATGTGTTTAGCTCTATTGACCTTGGGCCAGTCACTTTCTTTCAGTCCTAGGAAGGAGGCAATGGCAAACCACTTTTGAAAGCTTTCAGAAGAAAACTGCAAGAACCTGTCGGCAGTCTCTGGACAAGTTGGACATGATTGAATGAAAGAAAAAAAATAATATGAGAGTCCAGGTTGTAAAATTATAAAAGTTGTTGATTTAAGAGCTTTAAATTCCAACTATATTTGAGCTAGTTATGTTTCCACAGTAAGGAAGAAAATGCATTCTGGTCACCCTTGGAGATATATTGTTGCCTATCATGTATGCCAAGCTTGACCCCATTTCAAATTACATTCTGATTAAAGCTACTGAGTATAGAAGGGATGAGCTAGTCGCCGTATGGTGCAAGTATGAAGCCGCTGAACTTCAGATGGGCAGAGCTAGGTTTTCAAGAAATTGCCATTGACTTTACCATGTGTCATTGTGTTGTGTGGGTGGTTGCTCTGCAGTACTTATTAAGATGATAGAGATAGCTATGGATGACCGGCCTTTGTCAATATGAAAATTACTCTCTGGAACAAATGTTTTGAGGGAAACTCCTTAAACCCAAATATTATTTTTCTAAGATTGTGTGACAGCTTGCACAGGCCTAATAAATCTTATCTTTCTGAATTAGACCCACCAAGCTTGTAATTTTATTGATAATTTGCATGTTTCCCCATCTAGCCTTTTGTTGGGCTACAACTCTCATCCTCCACAAGCAGCAGGGTTTTATGTATTGTAGAATTTTGCTATCTTCATGATTGACTCAGATTGCTATCATCTAACAGTGGATATCCTTTCTTGCTGTTTCATTTATCATAAGTAAATAAAGATGCAGAAGTGAGAAAGACTTGCCTGGAAATGCCTGTTGGGAGATCTTATTAGGATTTAAGTCACCTGTCCTAAATTACTGATTATCCCCCAAAACGCTCTGATTGGGATAGAGTGGATACTGCTAGGGAGAATAGAAGCATCTCAAGCAAATAGCACAATATGCTGAAGAAGCATTAATAGGCACAGTCTTTAAAAGAGAAATGAAGGACGGGAGCAAGTGAGGTTCTTAAGTATCATGAACATTGTTACACAAAGCAGATAATTTTTAAAAAGGAGTATTTTCTTCATTTCTAGATGCTTGTATATTTTTGACTAGGAAAGGCCACTATAGTAATTTAGAACTGACTTGAAGAATGAAGATTTATTGTATTAAATCATAAAACCTCCTATGAAACATCACATCTGAACTCTTAACTGGAGCCTCCTCCATTGTTTGATCCTTGTATCCTAAATAATTCCAAAGAAACAACTTTTAATAAAATCCATCCAAGAACCAGTATTTATACCTCAAGTATTTTCATATAAATTGAGAAAACTTTTGAGTTGCTTGACTTTTATAAATATGATTAATAAAGTGCCTCATGGACAACATACTTGGCCAGAAATTAATATAATATGCTTATTGAATAATTATACTTGTCTCTACACAAGATGTTAGACCAGACTCAAAATTTCAAAGGTAAGGCCATGAATCACCAAATCAAAGAGAAAGAGAGAAGCCTTGGAGTTTATCTTAATAGCTATTCTCTATCTAAGATTAGAAACAAGCAAAACATCTTATGAATGAGTACCCTGGATGAAGCCAGAGTTTCAAGCATGTTTAATTCTGTTCTCTAGCTAAGAGGTGAAATATACAAGAGGCAAGTAAACTCAGGAAAGAATTAATAATTGTTCCACCCATCCCTATTTACAGGAGACAGGGTTTTTCTACAGCCTGTCCAGGATTCTGAAGGTTCTGCCTACGACTGCTCTTAACATCTGATGTGCCTTTGGACTTTGAGTGACTACAGTTCTAAGTTGCTGTTTGTCAATTTCCTGGTCTTAGTAGATACCAGTAAGTCCAGCCTACTACCAGACAAGCTTTCTTACCAGGAGCTCAAAACTTGGACACTGTCTCTTTCTTTTTGATCAATAGCTTGTGTTGATAATCAACAATTGCAAACAAATAATTTCATCTTTCATAATTTCATCAGACCAACTGTCAAGAATTAAATAATATCCCAATAAGGAACTGCCAAACAAGCTAACAACAAACAGCCCAAAGAACCTTCAAAACCATTTGCATCAATACTAACAGGACAAACCTCACTTCTTACTAGCACTGATGATGTTATCTAGTTGGGTAAAGAAAGTTCTGCAAGAGAACAACCAAGCTCACAAAGTACCAAGGGCCCCTCATTTAAACCTGAGCTAGAAATATTCTTCTTTATCAATTTCATCTTTGTTGAATTGAGTGCATTGTAATCTGAAACTTAAAGGGGTAATTTTATTTTTTTCCCTTGAGCAATCTATGTTTGTTTGCAGTTCATAACATTTCTCTGCCAAAGCACTTCCTCTTTCTTTGATTAATTGTTTTTACCTGTAGCCTAAAAAACTAAAGATAAACATTTTCTTTCTTTCTTTCCTGGCAAAAACATCCGTGAGTAAGATGAGGAAGGAGGGTGTTTTCTCACTTATAACCTGAAGCTCTTCCTCCTTTTTTTCCTTTCCCAATAGACAGAGACTGTCCACTTGAAATTAAGATTTACAGATCCTCCCTTTCTCTTTTAATGGTCTGACTCTTTAATGAGTTATAGAAATTGGTAGAATTTTTTTTAAAAGTTTGGGTTTGTTATGATTTAGTCCCATGTCCTTATACTTATTCATAGATACAAGAGCAGTCTCATTGGAAACATTAAGGATTATTATTTGCAATCTTTTGTGTCTTAATCATGTAATTATATCATTGAAGAGAAAGTTGAACAAACATGTGGAAAGATTTTAAATTTTAAATTTCCTGTTTATGGGGGAAATGCTCCTTCTTTTATGTATATTGTTAACTTCTAGAGTTGCTCTAGATGTGATTGCTAAATTATTAAACTGGACCTGGTGTTTTATTTATATGGCATATTATCCTCTAATGAAATTTCATTTCTTTATTCCTTTGTTAATTTTTCAGCTTTTTTTGCTTATTTTTTCTCTAATACTTTCAGCAACTAACTCCATATTTCAGCATAGCTTTAGGATTGATTTGGGGAAAGAAATAAATGGCTTTCTTAGTTCAGTCACCTTTTGTGAGGAGCAATATACCTGACAGTTCTGTTGGCCTCTTGTCATTTTTAATACTATCAGGTATGGCATCTTAGTAAGCAGCCTTGCTAGGAAGTGAACATGTCACTTTTGCAGTAGCCTGAATCCTTCTTTTTAATAATAATAATAATAATAATAATAATAATAATAATAATAATAATAATAATAATAATAATAATAATAATAATAATAATAATAATAATAAAGTTGGAAGGGACCTTGAAGGTCATCTAGTCCAACCCCCTGCTCAGGAGGGGGTGTCAAACTCGTGATGTTTGACCAGGGGTGCACCCATCCCATTGCCGGCAATGGGATGGGTGCAGTTTCGTTGTGACACATCCGGCCCATGGGCCGGCAGTTTGACACCCCTGTCATATACCATTTCAGACAAATAGCTATCCAGTCTCTTCTTTAAAACTTCCAGTGTTGGGGCATTGACAATTTCTGGAGGCAGGTTGTTCCACTGATTAATTGTTCTGACTGTCAGGAAATTTCTCCTTGGTTCTAGGTTGCTTCTTTCCTTGATTAGTTTCCATCCGTTGCTTCTTGTCCTGCCTTCAGGTGCTTTGGAGAATAGCTTGACTCCCTCTTCTTTGAGGCAGCCCCTGAGATATTGGAACACTGTCAGAATATCAGTGTCTCAATATGAGAAGGTCATAAAGATGTCTCTTGCCCATATAAATTGTTGCTAGATTACTGCCTCCTATCTGTGAGGTCTAGAGCAGGGCTTTTCAACCGGAGGTATGCGTACCACCGGTGGTACATTGACACCTGGCAGGTGGTACACAGCCCT